CAGGTTTCTCTCAACACTGCCTGTATTTAAGGTAGCTCAGCTTGCTTTCGGCAAGTTTTTACCCAATAGATTTGACTTTCTCTTTCCAAGAAATTTCAGCATTTCACTGTGACAGCAGCTGAAATGCTGGAGCCATCCTGCAAGACAACTTGAAAACCGCTCTGTGTTTATTGAGCTCGCCCAATACTGACCTATTAACCACCACAAAAAGATCATCCAAACACAATTTCAGGCAGATTACAGTGTCATAAATATTAGATGGAGAGGCAGATTGTGCTCATTTTGCTGTGGGAGGGAAGATCTAGCACTAAACTACCAATGTTTAGCAGGGGAATGATACGAAATGCAGCTGAGTAGTTGAGGCTGGTGGGGGAATACAGACTAGACTGCTCACTGCAGTATTCTTACATTTTTAAATCCTCTGTAAAGCACTTGAAGTTCTCTTTTAGTGAAATTGGTTTGTGCTTCAAGCTGTTCCAGTCCTTCGGGTCTATGACACACTGTAGTCATTTCTAATTCATCTTCAATTTTATCTGAAAGAGAAGATGGGAAAATATTTATTTTGATTGTTACCTTTGCTCTATTAACATGATGGATAGGACAGACGGAATTTCAAAAGCACCAGAGAAAAAAGAAACCATCAACAGAACTGATCTGTACAACTGTTTCCAACCTCTTGAAAGCAAAATAAAAGCCATTTATGAGTAAAGCAATAACTCACATTTCTTACTGGGCTGCCAATTAGCTGCCCATTCTGGCATGCCAAAACTGATGGTGAGAACAGAAGGGCAGGCAGCAGATAAGTTTCTCTGAAGGCAACACCAGATATTTCTTATCTAAATATTGAAACAGCATGGAGAAATAGGCCTTTCAAAGTACTAGCTTTAAAGAAAGCTGTGCAAATATAAGTGAGAGAGCAGACATGCTTAAGCATATTAGACAATGGCATTATACTGAGGGTAAACAGCGAGGGAAACTCTTCTGTGTGCTAACCGAAAAACTTGCTACAGAGACATTAAAGGTCACTCTAATCCCAGGAGAAATCCAAATGACATCTACAGTTGCAGAATCTGGAATGAATCCAGTCTGCATTTGCATGGACTTTTTGGGGAAACAGATAAGCAATGAAAAATACTAATGTGCATTTTATTCAAGAGAACGCTCTCCCATAAGGAAGAAAAACACTCTACTCGTATCACATCCTGTATTACCGCAATCTGACCTTCTTTCTGACACACGATTTAACTTGTCAAGCCCAATTCCCCAGCACTGTAGGTAATACTCAAATATACACAGATGCATGGCGTAAGTCAGTTCAAGGTTGTCTAAACTCCAAGGACCTGATGCAGGTTTCAGCTGACATGAAAATCCCGTCTACATTCATAAGTTGCTTGGTATAAAAGCTAATATTCCTCTTAATATCAAAACCGCACAATTTATGCCCTGCAAAAATGTTTTAGGTTATTTGGCTCAACTGTAATACAGTAATTCCTGCTGAAAGACAAGGATCTCAAGAGAAATGTGCAAGGAAATGAAGTCACTCTGAACGGAGGAAAGGCATGAATTCAGAGCAGACTGGCTCAGTGAAAGAACCAACCAGACTAATTTATCATAAGTTAATTCTGTGTATATATATATACAAATGTTATTAAGGGAGGACGCGTATCACTGGGTGATAATGGTTAATTAACATTGTTAGGTTTTGTTTCAGTATTAAGAAACCAGCTTGAAATATTGGTGAATTCAGCCATTATCCTGATCTACTGTGTCTGGAGCTTCACAGTCAGCATTTTTAGGGCTTGAGCAGTAAAAACACATGCCTAAATAGCGTTCTGAAGGTCTCTGGCACAGCAAGGGAATGAAGGCAAGAGATTGTAATAGCACGGGACATAAGGAGAGTATCACAACTCATGTTGCAGAAAAACTGACTGTACAGAGCAAGTCGCTGGTAGAGGCCTAAAGGAGACACCTCCACACAACAGGAAAACAAAGAGCCTGGAAATTATAGCTCCTGTTATAAGGAAGACAATGGAAAAGGGTATCTGCCACAGGAAAAAGAACAGGTAATATGAAATAAGGGGGAAATGCTGTTTTCTTTGAAAATACCACAAAGTGAAGGAATGCAGAAGAAGCAGTAGAGAAAGAGCGGGGAAGAAATTTCTTAAAATGAGGGAAAGGGAAGGAGTGGTTGAAAAAAAGGAGAGGAATTAACATTTAGAGGGGAGCCAGGTTAGAGAGACTCATCACTAGTCCATACACTGTATAGGAAATACCTTTTTCGGTTACCTTTGGTTATCCGTAAGCTACCTAAAACTCTTTACACAATGCACGTAACCGCAGAGGCCTCTCCTGCATTTCCCTGCTGTCCCTCAATGTAATAAGCATTTTACACATGACCTTGACAGTAATTTTGGCAGAAGCCATGCATTCTGTGCTGTGCAATATGTAAGTTAGGCTCTGAGCCTTTCCCTGCTCTGTAACCAGTTAAACATGCCCAGCTTTTCACTGCCATTTCCTATTGATTGAGTCATTCTAAAGTCCTTTACAACTTCAGTCAATGTAAAATAGTGTAAAATATGAAATATTGGCCATCTAGTCTTTATATCCTATAATATAATTCAACAGAGAGGAAAAAAAAATCAATCTAAGCAACCTCATGTAAATGGCAAGGCTAATGAGGGAAGCCAGCCTGTTGGATTACTCTCATACTTGGTTTTATTTATGCTCCTATGATGTGGAGGCTCACACTGTTTCTACAGAGATAGGAAAGATCCTGCTGAGAAAAGTCACAATCTTTGCAAAAGCATTTTGGTATGACTGATTTTTTGTGGGTATTGTATTTGCCATGTATTTTCCCCACCTCCTTCTCAAGCAACCAGTTTCCCAAATCACTTACTGGAATTTGTGTTAGTATTCTAAACTTGCTCTATAGCTCCACGACAGCTAAATCTGCAGCTCAAAATTCATAGTTCTTTCATTTATCCAGATGTCCTTTATATGAGCAGACCCAAAATTAGGGTCTTGGAATTGTTTTTTGAAAATATACTTGAATAAAATATTACTTGGTGAATATAGTAACTTAGTAATGATTTATTGTCTTTGGACAATACTGGCTTCAGTCAGTGAATCATTTTTTCAAAAGAGCGCAATTCATCTTCAGCTTGTCCTGCAAGAATAGGTTTTTCCAACAACCAGTTCATGAGCTCTGGTCCCATGGGGCAGATACTTCTATATTAAAAATAAGCCAGATTACTGTTGTAGATTTGATTCTTTTTCCCCTGCTGAGAAATGCGGCTCTGTTCTCTGTAACAAATTGCAGAAAGGAAATTATGAAAAATTCATCCCTTTCAGAGGGACACTTTATTTTCTCCTTCCATTCTCTATTCCAGAACCAGCATTAATCTCTGTCTCTGAAAAGGATCTGATGGCTCCCTGCTGGTTAATCCTTTCATCTGCTTCCTCTTCCCTTCCCAAGGGAGATACTTTGAAACCTAGCCAAAAAACTTGTGAAGCTTTAGATCTGGCCAAGGGGGCACTTAAAATGACACCAGACCAACAATTTTCCAGTAAACACGCTCTAAAAATGGTAGAAATTGTTCCTTCAGTGGAATGTGCCCTGATGCAACAGAGCAGTCCTGGGCCTCACTGCACAAAATAAATACAAAAATAAATAAAAACAAAATAAATACAAAAATAAATTTTGTCTGTCGCTTGCCAACAAAGAGTCAGTTTCTGTGGTGTTTCATTACAGTATCTGTTTGAAAGACAAAACTTATTTTAGGAGTAATTACTCCACATTAATAGGCCTCACAGATCAAACACTCCCTCCCTTGCGTTTATCAGATACTTACATTTAAACTTTTCTCAGTTGCCATCCCATATTCAAAGACTTCCCGTCGGCAGCATCCCCGTTCATCCATTCCCCCTCCCTCCCTGGCGAAAGCCCGAGTGGCCGCAGCACAGACCGTAGAGTGAGGGGGACCTGCAGCCTAAGGGGACAAACTGCTCTTCTCTGCAAATCAGCTCTTTCCAACTCAATAGTCCGCAGCACCCCACAAAGATTTTCTTTGTAATTATTATTTCTTTCAGTGTTTTCTCTCAAGTCAGCTCTTCTAAACCCTTTCTTTTCCTGTTCTCTGACACCCTATAAATTAACCACAGTAACCTAAGTGGTGAAGAAGATTGTCACCTCCTCATCTGCCTTCACCCTTTGTCATGTCTATTGGTATTTCTTCTTACTTACATTTTCATTATCACACTGACTCAGTCCCTCCCAGCTCTTCAGGGATGGCGCTGAATGAAAGAGCCCTTACATTTATAAACACTGCAATTCTTTTAAACTGATGCTCACTTTATGGTGGTGACTTCAACCAAGAGTGCAAATGCAGAGATACACACATGGAAACGCAGTTTTATTAGGATTGCTTGATGTTAAAAAGTTCTGTTTAATGTCATGTTCTTCCTCAGATTTGCCTTGTTTACAGCTTGCTGAACACCCTGAGAGATCCGAGTGTGGGAAACAGGCATGCCATTGGTTTAAAGTTAATTTTCTTCTCCTTCAATCTGCAAGAGCATTAACAGACCTAGGGACTGATTGCAGCCATTGCAAGCGACCGCATGGTCACCTCCCCAGCCCAGGTGACACCCGTGACAGCCACAGCAGAGATGAGACAGCCGTGGCTCACAGCATCCCTTCTAAAACTAAACCCTGCCTTGTCCAGTGCGGGTGCTCATCTCAGGGTCTCGGTACCATACAGCTCTTTAGTGAGAACTAAACCTTAGCAAACAGCTCCAAATTTATCATTACAGATTTTTTTTCCCTTGGGTGATCTGTGCTTACCAGTTAGGTGGACTCAGTAACTACAACAGGAGATTTCTTCCACTTGCAGGTAGTGATAAATGAGAATTTTTTATTATTATTATTTTTTTAGCTCCAGCACTTGTTGAAATCATCCCTGGATTAATCCTTTCCATGCCAGAAGGCTGCAGCGAGCTGGTGTCCTAGGCTTAAGATTGTCTGCACTGTTTAGCCGGTGCAGAATACACTTGTGCATTTGCTTAACTGTTTTTCTTGCAATGTGTTTAAAACCGGAGGTAGCACTTCGATGTAGAGTTCATCTCTGGCCATATTTCTATGGCTGTTTTAAGAGCAGGGCATGAAGTCTGGGTCTGGTAGAAGCACCTGTGGTAATCTTACTCCAAAGGAGGTCCAGGTTATAATAATTACCTAATTTGCATTTTTGTGCAAAAATATAATCTGTATTTGCTTAGCCCATAGGATAGGCACATTTTGTATGTATTAGACAAATAAAAAGTGGTTTCACTTTACAAAGAAAAATAATCCTGACACACTTGCATGCACATGCATATTTTATGGTTGCTGCTAATGGAAGATACTGTATTTAATTCCTCTGCTGCTTGCTCAGGAGCAGAGAATGAATTTTCATTAAAGTAGTTAAATATTTTATCTGAATACACTTTGGAAATTACTTAATGAGGCTTGGTTTATACATACTTGCATATTTGTTCTAATTTTACCTTTTGTTATCTTTACAATTTGAAGATTTCCATACTTAAGACTGCCTGCAAGTGGCCCTGTGTTTCACTGCTGTAAACTTTGCTGAACAGAATTTGCGTTTCTCCAAGTGATGAACTACCGTAATTTAAGCCTGTTCATGTAGAAGTTGTTTTGGACATCTACACATCTATGGACAAAACTGTTTCATCACTGAGGAAAAGAGATTTTCAGCCACAGACGACTGCTGCTCTCCATCACAGAACCAGGCAGAGAGACTCAGTCCTTCCATTACCCATTGTAAAGACAAGAAATCTACTGATTTGGAAGGACAATTAGCTGCTTCAATATTTCACTTTTTCAGATATTTCTGTTTCACTAGACGCAGGCACATTTATCTGCAATCTTATGGAAAACACTGTTTCACTGTCAATTTATCTTAAAAATACATAGGTAATGTAATGTACCTCTAGTATACACCAACTGAGGCAGTGCCCTAAACCAGTTCCTATATGTGCAACACCCACTAGAGATCCAGTCTGCAACTTGCCAGCAGTAGCTGCAGAGGGCAGATGATGGGCCGCTGCCAGCACAGGCGTCGAGTCCTAAAATCCTCTGGTGACAGCACGTCTTCTAGTAGTCACTTTAGTAACCTATTTCCATACAAAAATGCCTAATCAATATTCTTTAGATCCAACAATCCTTTCCTCATAAGTGGAATGGATTAAATCGGTCACAAACAATGCCAAAGTAGTATTTATGTACCATAAAATAGGAAACAATAGTGTTTTACTTAACAGCTGCTTTCTCAGCTCTGGTTTCCAACAGCCATTGGGCCCAGATTTACTAACCTGTCCATCCTGCCTCTTGCCTGCCACAGCCTCCACACAAGTGACTTCTTGCACAAAAGCCCAGGGTTGATTTCGCTGGGCCAAGCTCCCCCACGAAACACAAGAAACATCAACCACCTTTCCCACAGCAGCCACATCTAAAACACCGCAGCATTTCCAGCCCAGCAAACAGGCACCAGCAATGTCTCATTGCTCTGTCAGGCTTGGCCCATGACAACCCAAGGCCTAAAACACCATTTAAAGGGAGGGTCTAAACGATGATTTCATAAAAATACAAATGACCCTGTCCCCTGCTTCCAAAGACTGAAAGGTGAAACCATGTAACATCAGGCGTAATGGCTAAGGGAGGATTTTGAGAACGTGTTGCTTACAATAAATTCGCTTTTTGTTAAAGAAAAAAAATCAAGATGTAAAATACAGCTAATGTGCTCAGTGCTAATTGTAAAACTGACAAGTATTAGATGGAATGGGTAATTTACAAATACAGCAGAAGGGGATTAAATTATGTGCAAGAATTATGAGGCTGCATCTTATTTTTATTAAAAAAACATTAGCTACATTTTAGGAGCAAGGACCTGAAAAAAAAGATAACTCTAGTTTACCCACGCCACCTTTGAAATTAATCTCCAGACAGAATACTTGCTTGGCCAGATCTCACAGGAAATAGATACTGCCTGTGGGAAACCAATTGCAAATATCTGAAAATTTCATGAAAAGAAATAACTAAAGGCCTGAGTCCGTAAACGCTCATTACAGCAGAAAGTTCTGGGAATGGGAGTCAGGCAAGAGCTGTGTTACTGATGCAGAACCCGCACATTGGCTTCAGCGTTCCCTGCACTGATGTAAGTGGGAGCTGTAGGAAACGCTACTTTTGTGACGTCCTTTGAGGTCTGTGGTTCCAGGTTCCTGGGGCAAAGGCAGCTCCACTATCTGGAATAGCCAAAATATTTCTGTGCAGTTCCATGTGTTTCCACCAAGACAAAAAACCCAAGTGTTAGCCCTTAAGTGACCCCATCTGGCAAATACTTACAAACCAACAAGGCGAGCATGGCAGACAACAGAAACAGTGAGGGCTTGCTCCTGCTGACATTCCCAGAATGACAGCTCTACTAGAGCTTAAAAGCATGTATCTGCACATCTATGAATCCTAAAAAAGGGTTAAGTGAAATCTGCTCATGGCAAACATCAATTAAAAAATGGTACTAAGATACCTACTGATGGATCAAAAATTAAACATATTTAATTAAAACTGACCAATCCTTTATCAATAATTTATTATTGTTATTGTTATTATTGTTATTATTATTATTGCCTGGCTGGAGAGATCAATTTCCAAACCAAAGGGACTCTCCAGCAAGTTAAAAAAAAAAGGAAGCAATGCCTCCTTACCCACTCCCTGTTCCTGAAAGGATTTTTTGATTCCTTCAGGTCCATTGTCACCACTAAATCAGCAACATCAAGTTCATTACACAAACAGCCAAGCTTCGTGAGGCTGTTCTGGCTGTGAGAACCTACACCACCACCAGTCGCAGAGAAAAGAAAATGCAACAGTGTATAAAATTCTGAGATTAGTGAAAAAAGCCAGAATTTTAAGATTTCTTGGGTAATTCTTGCAATGATCTATGCAAAACATCACATAAAAATACCTTCCTCTGCCTCTATACTCTTAATTAAATTCACAGTTGTACATATTGAAGTCAGAACAAGACTATGCTCTGAAAAAGGAGGTGCGGGAATAGTCAGAGGCCATCGGTACCCTCAAAATGTCTTTCTGGCACACAACTAAGACCAGGTACTGTAACTGGAACATGAACTACACACTGCCAAATTTGACTGGAAATGTTTCTGCAGACACTGCATTAACTCTACTCGTCATTTGAAACAGCTTTGCTGTGGCCGTTCCCAGGGCAGGAGACAGCAGGGTGTCCTTCCAGTGCACTGGACCTCACCTGGGACAGCACTATCTTTTTTATTTTCCTTGCACATCCCCACTTATCTGTGGCAACATTTATAAGGAAAGCAACTTGTCAAAACAGGTGAAAAGCCACGGAAAGCATGCTGGGTGCTTCGCTGCTTTTCCACGGAGGTGCTGCAGAAAATGTGCTTTTGGGACAAGTGCTTTCCTCCAAGCAACTCTTCCAAGGTGAATTTGAAAAAATACATCACTAGAAAGGTTAGAAAGTCACTTTCCTCTGAGGTTTTTTTTTGAAAATTCTCACTAATTCCCACTAGTCTCAAAACTTTACGTGGAGAGTACTTGAACTGCTAAGTACTTGACTTAGCACATCATGCGATAAAGCCCCACACACAGAAGGACTTTGAGGTTCAGTGAAAGCTGGGACTGTCTTCATCAGAAGGGACTTGGCTGCTCCCTGAGCTGCAGCCTTATCCAGGAACTGGGCAACTTTCAAACACCTTTCATTTTGTTTGCTGCCTGTGTGGAAAGCGAGAATAAACTCGGCTGGGGGAACCTGTCTCCCAGCTTAAGAAAACTTTTGCTACAAAAATTATATGACCAATAGAGTCAAACTGGTTTAAATTTTACCTCTCTGATACACGTAAAACCATCGGGCAGGGTCTAGGAAAAAGTAAGAAAAAAATTTAAAAGAAAGTGACAACCATACACAGCTTTGTCTTTTTTTAATTTTAAGGTGACATTGGATGTGTTCTGCAAGTGCCATAGGGTCCCCTTTCCCACTGACTGTGGGATTGTTTCCAAGGAAATTGTACTTTTTTTTTTTCGTTCCCCTCTGCATTGCCTCTTTGCCTTACCCCAAAGGGCAGGAAAGGCAGGCAAGGAAGTCAGAGCTTGCTGTCCCCTGCATGACCATGAAGCTCGGGGCAGCACGTGAAGGGAAGCATGCACACAGTCATGCACCCATGCAAGCGTCCATGCATACAGCAAGGCAGCGATGCAGCAGTCATCCCAGCAACTCTGATAAGGAGGACTTTGCATGCAGTTTTTGAAGTTTGCCGAGGGGCAACAAGAGAGGCCCACAGCCTTCTGCTTCCTCTCCACAGCTGAGGCCTTTGACAGCTGCTGAAATTAAAAAAGTGATTAGTAAAAGTGAAGAAGTCTCAGGTGGTCGAGAAGATTAACTGGTGCTCTTTGCAGTCACTTCTCTTGCGACATGGTCATTTCGTACTATCTTCACATCTCCTGGGAGAAAATGTCATTAGCAAATAAGGTGAAAAGTAAAAAAGGAACTAAATAACCCCCCCCAAGTTATGTATATGGCTTCTCATGGCACCATTTTCTGTACTGTGTACCCACAGTACAATCTGCAGCAACCTGCAGAAGGCACAAGAGTTTTGGTCAGAATATTACCACCTGCGGCTCCCTGGCCCTACCTCCAGCCTGGGCATGGCTTACAAGCGAAGCTGGTCTCAAGAGCAAAGAGCCTACAACCAACCAGGGATTTAAATTATATACATAGACCACAACACTTACCAGAGAGAGAGCACACTGGAGATTTACTGAAAGTATATAAAAACAATTAGTAAAATGTAATAAATTCCCCTGTACCACAGGCAGTATAATCACATAGCTTTTTAACCTTCGTAATCTACCAAGGTACGTTTGCAATAAATGAGCAGGCTGCTTAAAAAGGCCCTGAATCTCTGCTGAAGCAAAAGATGTTGAACCATTAGCCATGAAATCTCCCACTGCCATGGAACCCCCACTTTGCTGGGTAACCTGAGGACAGGAGAAAAACCCTTCCCACTTCAAGTCTAATTATGGTGGTTCTGAATTTGCATGTTAACACTAGCTGCAAACTGATTTCTGTTGATGAGAACAAAGAAATGCAAACTAGAGAGAGCATGAAAATAGTGTCCTGATTTAGTAAGGGTGAAATCAATGATTAAAAAGAGCTAGAGTACATGAAGAGGTCCCACTGTAAACATCGGGCTTGAAAAGATGAAGACTAACAGATAGCAGGAAGACAACCGATGTGCTGCAAGAAAAGAGAAAGATTATCTGTTTTTCTGCATTGGGTAACCTTGTGGGTTATCAAAACTTTAGACCTTCTGGATATAAACAATGTTTTCTTTTTCTCTCTACAGAGATAGGGGAAAAAGCCCTTAAAAAGGAGAAATAGAAAAATGCTTCTAGTAATAACATGGTTTTCTTTGTTGTGTGAAAAACTTCACAGACTCAGCTTTCAATGGTTCAGCTGAAAATTAATTCTCTTCCAGATTATTAAAATGATAACTAAGAGGTTTTGGTTCAGTCTATATTTTTTATTTAACACTGAATTGCTCTTTCTTGAAAAATGGCACTTTTCAATAAGCTCAACAGAAAACTTCTTAATCATCATCTCAAATACATATTCATATCTACTTAGCATATTGAATAGCACAACAAACAGAAGAAACTACAATGTTGCTACTACCACTTATCAAACCTCTTCCTAAAACATGCAGACGCAGTTACTGCAGACTTGGTTATCTGTCATCTCTTCCAAGAGGAGTCTTATGATGGCTGTTTTCTGGCTTTCTCTAAACTCCCCAGGCCACAGATTACTCTCTGGGCAGTGGAAATAGAGCAGTTTCTGAGCAACTACAGATCAATGAAAAGAAACTGGCAGAAGCCAGGTTCATAATTTCTGAGGATTATTTCTAACACACTAGTTGTTTGTTTGTGAAGGGCAGGTAAAATGCCATAACCAAACCATCAGGGCTATGCGGGTGGAATGGGACCATCCACCTCTACCTGACCAAGGGGAGCTGCAACAGAACTGTAGTGGCAAAACCGACATAAGACTCTACTTAAACCATACAAATTCAGGTGCATTTTAAACTGTAATTTGACTTAAAATATTTTCTTTCCTTCATAGCCTATGAAAGATGAAGGAAAACTAAACAAACCTTGCAGGCACCAAAATAAGATGCAGGAAGCAGTAACAGTAAAATGGAGAAAAGGAAGACTGAATTTGGAGCCACGGTAATCCTATTTCAACAGTGACATGCTAATAAGATGCTTACATTTTCCCCGTAACATCTGCATGGCAACATTCTTTATTTGTGCCCATGCCCAATCCTCTGAAAATTCAGCAGCTGTCTGAACAGCAGTGGATTTTATGTCGTTCCGATTGCACTGGCCGAGAAGCCATTACGTACCCCAACATTAATGTCTGACTTTGTTCCTGCTATGTGAGAAAATAAACATGGCAGATGATATTTATTTCAAGGCAAAACCAAATCCTGTTGTAAAGCAGAGTTCTGGTATGAGGTAAAAAAAAGCTATTTTCCTTTCTGTCTTACTTTTAGGAAACCAGAGTGCTAGAGTGCTGTAGGGTGTGATGGGACATTGAGGTGGCCATTGAGGTACACCTACCTGGGTCTCTTATTTATCTAGAGGGCTTTAAAAAATAGAAGACAGGTTTTTTAGACTTTAAACCAGACTGTTTGTTTAATAGAATGAATTTAAAGAAACTCAATAGAATAGATATAAAATGACTTTATGCATAAACCCCTCATTGCCAAACATACTGAGCAGAAGGCCTCTCAGCTCCAGGATTGTTTTCAGCCAGCACCATTGTTCTCTCAGTTACAGGAGCCCCACACAACCTCCCTGTCACCAGGGAGAAATAAATCTGTTTCATAAACTTAATAAAGCCAGTGGAAAAACTACTGTCCTGCAGTTGTGTCACATCTGTTCTGGAGGTGGCAAGTAAAAGCCTAGAGCAGGAACTCCTCAGCCCTTGGCAGGCTTAGTTAGGTCAGTTGAAAAACTTCCTCAAATTATGTGATTCTCTGAGTAACTGGTGGGAAAAAAATAAGAAATAAAGATCTCAACACCTGCCTGGTGGTGGCGGTGGTCAAGCTGCATGCTTGGTGCAGCACTGGAAGCAGTAAAGGCTCCTCTTGCTGCAAGCCCCCAGACAGAGCTGCTCCAGCTCCTACTCCTCACAGAGAGAAATAACTTCTCTCCCCCTAGCCCTGAGCAGCACCTCCCCATCTGCTGAAGGGACCTGAAGGGACCTCTGGCTGTACCGGTGAGCTGGACACGGCGCCCTGCTTCAACCAGACACCTCTGCCCCATCGCTCCTCCTGACTTGTACAGTCTCTTGGGGTGAACAGCCCTTTTTTTTCCCATACACTTCAACCTTAGGCACTTTTGAGTAGCACAGTGTGCGCATACTGCATTTCTCAGCATTACTCCTTACTGTTTAAAAAGTGACATTGCCTCACATAGTCACAACACAGTAATTTACAACACAAATAAAGCTTCACGTTTCACTACACACACTAGAAAGTGAGCAGCGTACTCTTAATTATCTTTGTGCTTTGTAAGAAACATAGTACATCACTTAGCATTGAAATAAGATAACACACCACTTCCCAACTGAAAAGAAATAAAAAATGACGAATATTTACATACATAATTTTTATACAGTTGAATAATTTTTCTGTGGTTTGTTAAACAAATGTATTTCCTGCAGCACATACATTTTACAGGCCACAGAACCTGGCAGCACTTTCCATTTTACTCAATATGACATTGTGAATGCATTCAGCATCACTTCTTCAACTTCAAAAATCCCTGCACAAAACACAGCTCAAGCTGACACACCATCATCTTCTGATAGTAATTCTATTCTGCATGTTTTGTTGGGGTATTATCTCCCCTAAGTATAAACAATCTAAGTCCCACAGATGGGTATATAGCTTGCAGTCTCTTAGGCCAGTGGTAGCTGGGACACCACTGAGTTCAGAAATGTGCTCATTCCCACAATGAAAACCCTGGAACATCTTGAACACCTTTTCCAGCAGGCGGCTGGAATCATCCACATCGTGCTCAGCCTCAAGGGCTCAGGTCTGGGCTGGAGCTGGGACAAAGGCACTGCCTAGAGCCGTGTCCAGACTCCCACTAGCACTGTTTTTGTATTTTGCAATGTTTTCTGCTGTTTTCAAGAAATTCTTTGGCTGCCCTGACACCTATCCAGGCTTCAGTTTGTACCATTTTTTCCCCAGCCATCAGTAATTAACTTAATGGAAGAGAATATCTCTGCTCTGTCTCAAACACCATTTCATAGCCACAGAGGCCCTTGAGAAAGCCTGTCCGAAGAGTTAACCCAAGGACAAGCACCCACAATCAATCCCTTCCAAACACTAAGCAGCACTTAAGTCATGGATACAACTAAACTGTAAGACTGCAAGAGGACAAATAATGAAGCCATTTCCCCACCCCACAAAAAAAACTCAACCTCAAACCCCTCTCTGCTCTCTGAGATGCCCTGCAGCACGAAACCTCAAGCTTGGCAAGAAAATCTTCCCAGCACATTAGCGGCCTCACAGCAGAATTCACGGTAAATAACTTCCCTGTAGGGGAATCAAATAAACAAACATTAGAATACACCATGCCCTTGAAAGCAGAGTTTTGCAGAACTTGCAGTATTTTGCTGCAAACACAAAATGATTCATTCAAATCAGTTCTTACATCTGTAGCAGGACTTGGACTGCAGAGCCCAGGCATTCAGAACGAGGAACAGCTAACATGACTTGCAACACAACCTAACAGCTATCTTGCTTGAGAGCACCGATAGTTTCTTTCAACCTCCCAGCCACGATCACCAATAGCACCAGCAGCATTATTTGCTCACAATAACGTATTACAACCAGGAGTGCCCTTTAACAGCATTCAACTGCTTATGACTCTGTTTCTTAAAGGTCTTTTCCAACCAAATGTTTCTATTATTTCCAGCCCTGCTATAGAAATGAATTACACCTCAGTAGCACTCGAGCAGAACAGGAAGGAGTAACGGTAATATGTAAAGCATCATTGGTAAAATGGGAATAACAACACACAACCAGACGAGCTTTCCCAGCACTCCACGCAAGTTCCACCAATTTCATTAGCACTCAGTTAATGCATCTCCCTGCTACAAACGGGTTTGATTTTGTACTTTGGTTCTGTGCTGTTGCATAAGACAGAACTCTGCTTCAGTTACAGCAAGGACTTGCTCAAGACTTGATTTTTCTTTTTAGGTTGATATTTAGGAAGTGCTAGAAGTACAGCATTTGCTTCTAAACCACTGTAAGTACTTCAAGGAGCAATGTAAGGAATGCAGCCAAGAGTAACAGATTAACAAGACTGAAAGATGACCACCAGGAAGAACCGATGGCAAGCGTGCATTTGATTAAATAAACATAAAAACCAGTGACTCATCTGAAGGAGGTGCACCAGATTCTTTCGTCATATTCCCAGAGCTATTGGCAGTACACGCTGTTGAGCTTCCTTTTTACTCTAGAACCAGT